GTCCGCGGCCGCGCGGAGGGACGGCCTTCCGGGACCCGGCGGCGGCGCTCGCAGGCGGCGTGTGCCCGGCGGATCGGGGCGCCGGGCGGGAAGCAGCCCCGCCCGGAGTGCACGCGGGTCCCGGCGGGGCGGGGCGGGCCGAGGCTCGCAGGCTAGGGACGATGGGACTTGCAGTCCGGCGCGTCTGGAGGCTGGGCGTGCGGGGACCCCAGTTGGGCGCCCGCCGCCAGGCCGCGAAGGGGAAGGCGCCCCGGGCCGGGCGCGTGACGCCACTCGCGGGCGCCGGCGGGGCGGGGGCGGGGCCGGGGCGGGCCGATCCGGAAGCGCCGGCCTTCCGGGCGCCGCCATATTGGCCGGTCGCTGGGCGCCGCCATATTGTGCAGTCGCGCCCGCGTCGAGGCCGCCGCCGGAGCAGGAGGCGAGGGCCGCCGCCGCCGCCCAGCCATGTCCGAGACGTACGGTAAGGCCCAGGAGCCCGCATCCCGCCGCATGCGGAGGCCCCGGCGCCCTCCCCAGGGGCGTCTTCGCGGGGAGCCGGGCCCCGGAGGCCGCGGGCCTCGGGAAGCCGTGCCGGAGCAGGAGGCGGCAGCCCCGGATTCGCCGTTCCCCGGGGAGGCTCTCCCGCGCCTGGCTGCCCGTGCCCGGCGAGCAAGACCCGACGTGGCCGCGAGCCCGGGGAGATCGGCGGCGCTCAAAGGGCCCGGTCGCTGCGGGAGCGCGGTCCCTCGGTCCCGCTCCCTGCGGACGGGGCGTCCGTCGAGGCCGGGCGCAAGGCGGGCCCGGCAGGGGCGAGCGCTGGCTCGACTCTGCCCGTCGCGGGCTCCGGCGAGCGGGAAGCTGGGGCTGGCGCGGGGCGGGCGCGGAACGGGGGTGTCGTGTCGCGGCGGAGCGCCGGTCCCGCGCGCGGTTTCTGCCCCGGCCGCTCTGCAAAACGGCCGTCGCACGTTCGTGGTGCAGCCCCAGCCAGATGCGTCTCGGACTCGCAAAGCGCCGAGCGGGGCTCGAGATCTCGGGGCGCCTCACGAGGCGGGCGGGGGTCCCTGGAGCGGAGCGCCGCCTGCCGCCGCCGCCGCCGCCTTGCAGGGTCGCGCGCAGCGCCCCAGCGGCGCTTGTGCACCGGCGCGGTGCCGGTGCAGGTCCCCCTCGCCCCGCGCCTTTGCCGCCCGCCCTGCTCTCTTTGGGGTTTGAGGGAAGGCGGTGTTTCCCGGGGCCTCCTGCCCCTTCAGTTTTGCAACAGCCGCTCTGAGAACAGTCGCTTGGTGTAAACAGGAAGGAAAATTGTACCTGTGGCTGGGCCTAGTTTTGTTGCGTGAAGCAGCCCTCATCTCTGGCGGCTGAGCGGTGGGTCCTCCCGAGGCATGTGTGTTTGGGAGCGGGCTGGGGCAAAATAAGCTGCCCTCGCAGATGGGACGCACGTGTGGGCTCCTGCCTGCTTTCAAGGTGGGGCTGGAAATGGGTCCCCCGCCTGCCTTTGGCAGATGGAGGCGGGGTGGTTCTGCTTGCCCTTCCCCTCCATGAAAACGGCTTCAGGGCCCTGAATGGCGGGGGAACGGCTAGGCCAGCGAGCGCACCTTCTCTATAGGGAGGGGAGATGCTCCGCAGTGGGGCGGGTGTGGCTTGAACACATGTTTGCCAGCGTGAAAGCAGGTGCGTTGGAATGGAGGGGATGTGCCCCAAAAGCCCACTTCTGCCCCCTCCCCTTCAAGCATAGGCTCCGGGACCTTCCTTGCACCATTCAGACAATCTGCCTGCTGTTTCTAGTCCATTTCGTGCGTCTTTCCCCTCCTCGCCCTACAATTCCAGTTGGCATGTCTGTGGTGGGAGGCTCCGTTTTCTTCTCTGCCCTCTCCCAGCCTTGTGCTTTTACCAAAGCAACGAGACCCTCTCAGGCCACCTGGTGGGTCCGGCTGAGCAGGCCCTGCCTGCAAAAGATCCCTCGGGGAAGCGGCTGGGGTTAGGGCTGCCTGGCGCTCAGATTTGCCACCGCTTCTCCTTGCAAGCAGCTGGAAGGTTGGGGGCAGGGAGGGGCACGAGGGCAGCCCCTGGACTGCCGTTTCGCCGGCTGCGTTTCTCTACTCCCAGCTCCCGCGTGTCTGCGGCCGCCTTTGCTTTCGGGCCCCGCTGCCCTGCCCAGCGTGCCCCGCGGTGCCCAGCTGTGGGGCTGCGGGTCATTGCCTGACCGTGCCCTCCCCCCGCCCCGTTCCTGAGATGCGGAGTGTCACGGGGTGCTCTCTCGCTCTCCCGCCAGATTTCCTCTTCAAATTCTTGGTGATCGGAAGTGCCGGCACAGGCAAGTCGTGCCTCCTCCATCAGTTCATAGAGAACAAATGTGAGTCGCTTTCCTCCGCCTGCAGCCGCGGTCCTTCTAGCACGCCACCCCAGCTGAGGGTACCTGGCAGAAGGGTTACCGGACACAAGCCGAACAGAAGCACCTCGGAAAGCAATCGGGGCGAACCCACGACAAAACCGGAAGAACCAGCGCTGCTGCTAAGTTAGCGCTCTGTGTGAAAGACGTCTGCGCACGTCGCCCAGCGCCTGCTTCAAAGCAGGCTGGGAGCGAGCGGGTGGCGTCTCCCTGGGGAGGCCCCCGAGGCGGCACCGCAGCAGAAGGGCCCCTGTGTACTCGCGCTATCTGGCCTCTGCGCTCTTTTCCCTTTGGAATAAAGTGCAAGAAAGCCTTCCACTTGCCGAAGAGAAGGCGGTGAGGTGTTCGTTTCTGTGTGAAGAGGAAACTTAGCAGGGGAAAGTTTTCTAGCACATCATATGTTGCTGTTCTGGGAGCTGCATGCTGGAAGCAGCTGCCATCGATCCTTTTTCACCCTGACCCCTAGACCCCTTGCGTGTGGGTCGAGTGGTCCAAAATCTGCTGGTGCTTGGGTTAAATTACGCTCAGCCCCAACACGTGACCAGTGCCCTTCTCTGCCCCCTCACCAGCGGGACGTGCCGTTTCGGACTTGTTGTTTCTGTTTCTTTAAGTGCTTGTTGTGGCCGATCCTTGGCGTCGTCTGCCTGACGCTCGTTCTCCCCTTCTTCCTCTGTGCAATTCTGCAGTCAAACAGGATTCCAACCACACAATTGGGGTGGAATTTGGATCAAAGGTGGTGAATGTTGGTGGCAAAACAGTGAAGCTCCAGATCTGGGACACGGCTGGGCAGGAGCGGTTTAGGTAAGGGCCAGAATCCCTGGAGCTCTGCGGAGACTCCCGGCCCCTTTTCGGGCATCTCAGTTCCCAGACTCCTCTCTCCTGTCCCTGCTATCCTAACCCCACATCCCGCCCACACGAGGCTTTGCTCTTGCTCCGTCTAGGTCAGTCACGAGAAGCTACTACCGGGGTGCAGCGGGAGCGCTCCTGGTCTATGACATCACCAGGTGCGTCCCGGCGGTGGCTCCCCTTTCCCTGGTGGGGGGGCCGCAGGGGGCGCTGGCTCCTCTCTGCGCCCAAGGGCCGTGGGCTTCTGCCGCCTGCCTTGCAGAGCGATCGCCGAGGCCCGCCATCCCGGGCCGGGCCGGGCCGGGGCGGTTCAGAGAAGGTCCGCCGGTGGCTCGCCATGGGAGCGCGGCAGGCAGGGCGGCTGGGGTGAGGGGGATGGTGGGCTGAGGCAGAAGGCTGGGCTGGCCACGTGTGCTGGGGGGGCCTTCTTGGCCCTTCTGCCCGCCCGCCCCCCCACCGTGTCTTGCCCGCCCGGTCCTGTCCTGCAGCAGGGAGACGTACAACGCCTTGACCAACTGGCTCACGGATGCCCGGACGCTGGCCAGCCCCAACATCGTCCTCATCCTGTGCGGCAACAAGAAGGACCTGGATGCCGACCGAGAGGTCACGTTTTTGGAGGCTTCCCGCTTTGCTCAGGAGAACGGTAACGTGGGCGGGGGGCGCCCCGCAGCCTGGCCTCTGCCCCCTGTGGCCTGGTGCTGGGCCCCGCTGGGCTGCAGGGGCTGCCTGCGTGGGGTGGAGTGCATGCCTGTGCTTTCCTCTGGGGCGGCCTTGCGGCTGCGCTGCCCAGGTGCACAGGGATGGGGAGCCGCGGGGCCTCCGGGCTGGAGGGGCTGCCGAAGGGCAGTCCTGGCAGCGGCGCTGCGGCTGTGCCCCCACCTCCCTCTCTCGGCGCGCGGCAGCCGGCTGCGCCGCTCAATGGCCGCGTCTGTGGGGCTGTCAATGAGTAACGCCACCTCGCAGCTCCTCCCGCGGCTGGCCGTGTGCCAGCTTCACGAGGCAGCCGGCCTTGACCTGGAGGGGGCAGGGGGGGCGGGAGAACGGGCAGGCAAGCCTGGCGTCCTGGCCTCCGCCGGCCCTCTTCCTCTGACCCCTCTGTGCCCATTTCCGCCTGGAGCCGGGGCGGGAGCGAGCCTGGCTGAGCACACGGAGCTCATGCTGCGTTCGCTTTTTGAACTGGGCAGAGCTGATGTTTCTCGAGACCAGCGCCTTGACGGGGGAGAATGTGGAAGAAGCCTTCCTCAAGTGTGCACGGACCATCCTGAACAAAATCGAGTCAGGTGTGTCCCGGCCGCCTCCGTGCAGCTCAAATGAAAGCGGGGACGGTGGAGGCGCAGCTCTGGCCGAGCAGCTCACTGGGGGCGTGCCAAGTGGCCCCACGCGCGGCTTGGGCTCCCCCCCTGCCGCCGCCACGACGGAGGTCCTCTGCTGCTTTGCGCCACGGCTGACTCGGAACAGGCGGCCGTATCTGGGCGCGGGGGGACGGGGCGCCGGCCTTTGGGGTCTTCCTTGCCGGGATGCCACGTCTGGAAAGGGCGGGCTGAGGAGGGGCTCGGAGGGGAAGGCGGCTGCCTGATCCCGCCCCTGCTGTGCTTGTGACCCCGTCCCTCCCCCCTCCTCCCCAGGCGAGCTGGATCCGGAGAGGATGGGCTCGGGCATCCAGTACGGAGACGCGTCCCTGCGGCAACTGCGGCAGCCGAGGGGGCCCCAGGCACAGACCAGGCAGCCGTGCAGCTGCTAGAGGCGGGAGCCAAGCGGGCCCGGCGGCCGCCCTGCAAGGTAGTGCTTGAGGCATTGGGGGGGGGCAGGAAGCCTCGTGGCAGAAGTGCGCGTGAGGCGGCAAGCAGCCTTGCCGTGTTGGGTGGCGGTGCCTCCCCCACTCCTGCTCGCTCAGGGTGTGGAAACACCTTCCACAGGCCCCTCCCCCCCCATTCTGCTGGACTCTGCCTGGATGGAGCAGGCCGCGTGGGAAGGGCACCCCCCTCCCAGGAGCCCTCCCCTCCCCTCCCTGTGAGGGGCCCGGTCCAGAAGTGGGGGCGCTGCCCTGGTGCGTGTGGGCGGGGTCAGGAGAGCAAGACCCCTGAGCAGCTGGGGCCCAGCACCCAGCTCCAGTGGGACCCCTGCCCGGCACCCCTCAGCCATGCTCCTCCCTCTCCCCTCCCCTCTCGCTCGCAGTGCTGGAACCCGGCTGCTCTGGATCCAGGGCTGTGTGAAGCACCTTCCTCCGATCCGTTCTCTGGGACTACATGCCTCGCCGGCTGAAGCCCTCTTCCTTCCCGAGGACGCCTGCTCCATCTCCATGCCGCTGCTGCTGCCCCCCCCCACCTCCTTCCCTCACGAGAAGCTCTGCGAGGACAGCCCTCAGACGGGTGTCCCGGCGGGGGGCCTGCCGTGGGGGTGCCAAGGCCCTTCTGCGGTGCCACGTGGCTGTCCTGGCTGGGAGGTCAGCGGGCTGCCTGCCCACGGGTGGCTGGGGGATCCACGGAGGCAGCGCAGCCTTTGGGGGAATTTCCTCTGCCCCGTGGTCACCGGCTTTGTGGCAAAACGCCGTCCTGATTTGGGGTGAGGGTGTCTCCCCCTTCTGCAAGGAGTAAATCATTCCACTTTTGTGGAGAGAGGTCAGTCTAGTTCATTCAGGGCAGGGAGAGCCCCTGCTGCTGCTGGGGGGTTCTTCACGTGGGGGCACGAAAATGCGGCTGCCCCCAGTGAGCTGTGTGGGCAGCCGCCCCCCTCCCGGTGGCGTCTCTGGGGCCCGCTGCGCTCGTGTGGGGTCCAGCCTGAGTTTCTCCTGCGTGTGGGTCTTTCCATTCCTCCGCTCCGCTCCGAGGGCGCTGCTTCAGATTTACACAAGCCATAGATGGTGCCTTTGGCAGGGTCTTTCTCGTGCACGTCCTCCTCTGCCTCTCCCCATTCCTCGCTCGAGGATGCAGCCACGGGGCCAGGGCATCGCTGCCGGTCCTGAGCGTGGCATCCGCTGAAGGGGGAACGGTGCTTCTCGGTCTCGAGTGAGCCGTATCGGGTTTACTCATCACCAGATGTTCCTGCATCGGCTGAACCGACGGCACGGGGCCCAGAGCTGCAGAGAAAGAGCTGCCGCTCGCGTGAGTGTCTCTCTTGCATGGGGGAGGCGGCGCATGTGTCTGTCCATCCCTCCTCTGCCTTTGCTCAGATTCCCTTCTGTTGTTGTGCTGCAAGGAGTCCTGGGGCTTCAAAAGCTAGGTGCTGCATGCCAGAGCTTGGAGCCCCCCCCCCGCCCACCCTCCCTCCCACTGTGAGGGATGCTTGTTGCTTGCCTCCCCTCTGGGGCAGCCCCCTTGGAAGCAGCCCCCTTCCGGCAGCACACGGAGAGCCAGGTTGCCAGTCCTTGGTCCTTGGCGGCTAGTGGCGCCCCAAGCTCCCCTGCTGCTCAGCCTGGCTCAGCCGTGGGTGTGGAGGAGTGGTGCGTTGCATTAGAGGTTTCCTCCTGGGCTAGGGGCCAGCTGCGGTGGCTTGTGCTAGCCTGGGTGGGCAGCTGGCGGCCCTCCGGAGCACGTGGTCTACACTCCCGTCCTCCCTCCAGAAGCGACCCGCTGTGGGGAGGGAGCAGCGGCAGGCCAGGACGCCCGCCCCGCTCGTGCCACGTTTCCTTCGGCTGTGGGGCCTCGCCAGCCACACACTTCTCCCAGCAGCTCTGCGCTTTGACAGTCCTTTGCGTGGCTTTTGAGGGCTCTCCAGAACGTGGCAGAGCGCCAGTCCTCGTGGCAAGACCGGCTCGTTCGAAGCGCCGCTCGCCCAAGGAGCACCTTTGGCCCGTTTGCTGCAAGCCGGGGCGGAACTGAGGGGGTCCCTGCTCCGGCCAGCGCCTGCATCTGGCGCGACGTGCCGCTGCATGTCCGGCAGAGAGTGCAGGCACGCCCCTCGGGGTCTGAGGAGCTCCCCGCCTTGCCCGGTCCCTGCCTGGTGGAGGCGTGTTGCCTTCTGCTGGAGCGCCAGAGCTGGTGCCTCTCGCATGCCTTATTGGTTGGCTTGGGGAGACCCCCCCCCCCGCAGCTGCTGCAGCAGCTCCTCTGCCTGAGCCCCTCAGAAAGGAAAGTCCCAAGGGGGGGGGCTGGAGGAGCCCGTTTGTACTCCGTTTGTCCTTTTTTTAGTGTAATGTTAAACTTGTTATTTATTACTTCTGTGTTGCAGTCGGATGCCCGCCCTCCCCTTCCCTGCAGTCCCACGTGCGCCTCCCACCCCACCTGTTTCTACAGGCCCTCCCTCTGCTCCGTGGGAGTCCCCCTTGAGAGTCATCAAGGGGCTCAGCTTGGGTGGGGTTGCTTTTAATCTGTGGCAGAGCAGTGGACTGTTACGAAGCAGTTTGTAACCCTGATCCTCCGGTTGATTTCCTTTCTAAATGCAACATTCCCCCACCCCATTTATGGCTGTGAAACTGATTCTCCTACATAAAGAGTTTTTTCTTTTCCAAATGTGAGACTCCTGGTGCGTTTGTTCCCTCCTTCCTTCCAGGGCGTGCTGGCCAAGTGGCTGAAGCAATTCAGCTCTCGTGAGCCTCCAGCTGCTCCCTCCGTAGGCGAGGCGGCATGAGGCGGCACCGAGGGGCTTCCAGGGGATGGCTGGGCGGACCAGCGCGGAGGCAGACGCCTGTGTCCCCAGCCGCAGCGGCAGCCAGCTGGTCGGGCGGGCTCTGGGGCAGCTTCTCCAGCAGCACCTCTGGCTTCTGGCTGTCAGGAGAGCCCTGCTGGATTGGGCTGGCGGTCCATCCGCCCCACAGCCTTTGCACAGTGGCCGGGCAGCCGCCTGCAGGCCACCCACAAGCGGGACACAAGTGCCACGGCCCCGTGGGTCTGCAGGCCCACGGGCGATGCCTTCCAGGGTCACCGTGACTAGCTGTCGAGCGCCTCATCCACAGAAGCCTTTAATCGGCACCTGCGGGGCGCCTTTCGGCAGCTGCAGGCACCCCGGCTGAACTCCGAGCCATCGGCAGGCGGGCGCCCTTCTCGCCATTGGGACCGCTCTGCCCTGGTGGGCCGCAGCCCTGCAGGAGAGGGAGGCGGTGCCCCCCTGCACACAGTTCTGCCTCGTTCCCTGTTACCCCCTTTCCTCGAAACGGAGCCCTGCCGGTCACACAGAGAAGCTTGGTTGCCCTTCGCCACTCCTTTGCCTGCTCGCCCCTGACTTCCTTTAAGGGTTGGCTGAAATCCCTTTATAAGGTGCTCCCCATGAGGCGACTGGGACCTCCAGCTCCTTTTAGCTGTTGAGATGAGAGCTCTGCTGGCCAGACTGGGAGGCCGGCTCGTCCAGCGCTGTGTCCACACGGTGCGCAGCCAGCTGCCCGCAGGCTCGGGCAAGCGGGTTGTGAGGGCAGCCGCTGCTCACATTGCCCTGCCTCTGGCGTCGACCGGCACACCGCCCGTGATGTGGGAGGCGGTGGAGGGGCCTCGCCTCGTAGCCGGGGCCCGTGGTCGTCACTAGCACGGAAGTGGATCCCAGAACTGCATGAGGAGGAGTCTCCCTATCTGCCCCGGGTCCCACACCCATCAGCCACATGGGCGGGCGAGAAAAGCATCCAGCACGACACCACAGTCGGTGCGCTGCTGCTGTCCCGTCTCGCCCTCTTCCGAGCTGAGCGGTCTCGGGCCTTGGCGCCTCTCCTTGTGGGCGAGCGGCTCCACCCGGATCGTCTGAGCCTCTGTAATGCGACAACCCGGAGGTGCGACAGCTCGGGGCGGACGCCGCATGCCCGCACCGGAGATCGCGGGCGAGGGGCCACGGTGGCGCTGGCAGATTTGCTCGCGACGCCGTTCGCGTTTTATCTGGCACGGAGCCGGCCTGTCCCGCAGCCTCTGCTCCTCTCCTCCAGGGAGCCGGAGTTCAGCCCGGCCGTGGCGGCCCTGCAGGCAGGTGCGTCCAAGCCTTCTGGAGGGCACCCGGCTGGGGAAGGGCATCTCGGCCGGAGCGAGTGACGAGCTCCCCCTCCCGCTCCAAGTCCGCAGGAGCCGGCTGAGCGCCGGCTCCGGGCATCTCCCGCCAGTGCGCCCCGCGCATTCGGGGGCGGCGCAGGCGGGGGGGGACGCTGCGGGAAGGGGCGGCGTGGCTCAGAGGCGCGGCCGGCGCCTGCGTCATGTGCGCCCAGGCTGCAGCCGAGAAGAGCGGGGAGCGGGCGCCTGCACACGCTCCAGGGGCGCAGCCGAAACGGACTGCGAGGGAAGCCAAGCCGGGGCCCCGCCCGCGCCCCGCACCTGGCCGGCGGCGCGGCTCTCCCGCGGGAGCCCCCGCCCAGCGCGTGCCAGGCGCTCCCGAGCCGAGCTCTGCGCGCGCGCGGCCGTGGAGACCGCAGGAGATCCCGGCGGGGCGGGCGCTGAGCCGGAGGCTGGCCGGCCGGCGGCTGCTGGACTCCTCCCCTCGCCGGATCGGGCTGCGAAAGGCCCGACCGCGCCTCGCTGCGCCTCGCCTCTCCCGCCGCCCAGAAGTGGGAAGCGGAGAGGTGCCGCCGGTTGATCACTTCGGTGAGTGGGGCTCCGGGGGGGGGGGCGATAATCCCCTTGTCCGCGAGCCCGGCCCGCTACCGGCGGTGTCTTGCGGACTAGCTGCTTGGTGGGTGGGCGAGCGAGTCGCCTGTGCCGGCCTGCAGGCGGGACGAGGCCGGTCCGTTGCCCCGCGGCCGGCCGAGCGCCACGGGTAGGAAGCCGGGCGGGCGGGCGCGGGGACGGCTTCCCTCGAGGGCCGCCCTGCGCCGCGATCACGACCGCCGCCCAATAGGAGGGAAATACCGCCGCCACCGTCGCCCTCCTTCCGGGCCGCCTTACGAAACTCTCCGCTGCCGGCTTGGCTTGGCAGCGGCGGGCGGGCAGACTGGTTCGCTCGCCTGCCCCGAGCGGGCCCTTCCCGCGTCCGGGACGCTCCTCTCGCGGGCGGCGAGTGCGCGGCTGGCCCGGAGGCGGCGGCGGGGAGCTGACAGCCGCGCCGCCCTGAGCTCCGGTCTCCTTCCAGCACAGGCGCAGGGGCGCCCCCGCCGACGGCCGCGCGTCATGCCCCCCCCGGCCCTCGCGCCGTAGCCCGTGGCCGCCCCCACCGCACAGGCCGCCCCGTCGTCAGCGCAAGGACCGGCCGCAACATGGCGACGGCCCGCGGCTCCGGCCCCCGGGATGTGACATGGAGGGCTCCCGCCCGCTGCCGCCGGTAGCCGGCTGTCCCCGCCGGAGCATGGGCCGCGAGGGCGAGGGCGCCGCGGTGGGGGGCCTCCTCCTGCTGGCGCTGAACGGGCGCCGAGAGGCGAAGCGGCGCGGGCCCGAGAACGGCGACGCGGAGGGCGAAGGCGCTGCCAAGAGGCGCCGGGCCGAGCCGGGCGCGGGCGATCGGTGCGTCCCCGTCAGCCGGCTGGCCCTGGACTACGTGGTGCCCTGCATGAACTTCTACGGGATCTGCGTCAAGGACGCGTTCCTCGGCGAGGCGCTGGGCGCGCAGGTCCTGGCCGAGGTGGAGGCGCTGAAGCGGGGCGGCAAGTTCCACGACGGGCAGCTGGTGAGCCAGAAGGCCGTCCCCCCCTGCAGCATCCGCGGGGACCAGATCGCCTGGGTGGAGGGCCGGGAGCCCGGCTGCCAGGCCATCGGGGCGCTCATGGCGCGCGTCGACCAGCTCGTCCTGCACTGCGCCGGCAAGCTGGGCGGCTACGACATCAACGGCCGCACCAAGGTGAGGCTGGGCAAGCTGGGCGCGCGGGAGAGGGGCGGGCCGGGCCGGCGGCCATGGGGCTGCGAGGCCACGGGAACCGGCGGCCCCTGTGAGTGCGCGGGGCGCCAGCCCCAGCCCCAGCCGGGGGCACTGCTGCTCCGCCACGGGCCTGGTGGAGCTGCCAGGAGGAGGGAGACCGTGCTGTAGGGATCTGGAGCCCGGTGCCTCCCCAGAGGGAAAGCGACGCGTCTGGGGCACCCTCCAGGCCTCGCTCTCGCAGGTCTGGGGTTACGCTGAACTGGGTGGGCGGCGGAAGAGGAGGACCTGCTGCATCAGCCGGAGCCCAGACTTCGGCTGGCCCTGTTGCCGGTGCGAGGCCCCATGCGCTGCCGTGCCCCCTTGCTTCAGCTGGAGCATTTGGCGGAGGCTTTTCCGTCCGTTCTGCTTGCTCCTGTGCTCTCACACCGGCTGAGCTCTTCCGGGCACGCATGCTTGTTCCTGGCAAACGCCCTCACATGCACGGATCAACTTGCTTTGGGGCTGAGAAGGCTGAAAGGCTGCCAGGTGCTTTGACAGGATGGCAGCCCTCCTTCGCGTCCCCGTCCCCCCGGCAGGATCTTTGCATACCGCAGGTGCAGTTGCGGCACTCACCGGGGCTGCTGGCGTGGTCTCCCAGATGGGGGGGGGCGCCATTCCTCGGCCCGGCCTGTGGCCCCTCCCGCGTTCTGGGGAGCTGCGCCCCCTGTGCAGGGGGAGGGGGCAGCAGTCGCGGAACGAGAGGCGCTCTGCGCAGCTTCCTCGAGCCGCCCTGCACTCTCCCGTGTGAGCGCCTCACGGCCCGGAGCTCCGACGGCTGAGCTGGTTCCGGAGGGGGCTGCAGTGGGCCTGGCTCGAGGGGGGCCGTGACTTCCAGCTGACCGGAGCGGGGAGAGTGCTCGGGCTGCCCCCCCCATAGCTTTTCAGCACCGGCTGCCGTGGCAGTGTTTTCGCACGCTTGGCTCTCGCGTGGCTTCTTGTCATTGCCAAGCTTGTTTTGCAATGCCTCCCTGAAAAGCAGCTTGAAATAAATTTGCCGAGGCATCACCCTGCTGAAACCGGAGCCTCTGCCTCCACACGCTCCCGTCGCTCTGGCCTGCCTCTGCCTCCACACGCTCCCGTCGCTCTGGCCTGCCTCTGCGGGGCAAGCGAGGGCTGCACCTGGACGCGGATCCGCCAGCCAGCCGGCTTCCCAGAGCCAGGCGGCTTCGTCATTTGTTTCCAGGAAGGCTGCGGCTGTTCCTGGAATTCCAGCCAGCTTCCATCCCAGGAGCGGCTGCAGTGCCAGTAGCCACTCGGGCAGGCCATTTGGGGAGGGGCCCCAGGGGCCCAAGGCACCCCGAGGGCCCTGGTGCAGGTACAGGGGTGCGAGGCGAGAGAGCCCTGGCGGCTTTGGCTGTGCTGGGTGTGCCACTGCCCCCATCCCGCAAAGCCCCTCTTGCTTCCAAGCGCCGTGTTCCGGGGGCTCAGCTCCTGCTGGCCGGACGGGCGTGGGGCTAGCGGGGCAGAGAAGCGGAAGCACTGCCTCTGCCTGGAAGCTCCGCCTGCTGCGGGTGCCACAGCCCGGCATGTCAGGAGGCCCCCCGAGGGAGGGGGGTGCGTTAAAGGGCCTGCGGCGGGGCACCTGCAGGGCTTCGTGGGTTGGAGCTCACTTGCTGGCACCCTGATGGGCTTCTGGGGACGGGTGCCAGCCCTCTGCATGCAGCGCTGCTGTGGATGCTGGGTATCGGGGCCTCGGGCTAGGGAGGGTGGCCCACAGGATGCCCAGGCCCTCTCCTGGACCGGCCCTGTGCTGCTGCCCCACTCCACCCGCTGGGAGGGGAGTTCAGGGCCCTTGGTGAGATCTCTGCAGGTGCCAAGAGGGGGAAGGGGCTGGAGCAGCCTTCTGTGCCCCCCCCCCCGATGTCCCCACGGGGATGAGCGGGCAGCGGGGGCCTCTCCGCGTCGAGCGGGGCGCTGCTCGCTCCATGCAATTGTCGGCCGCCGTCCTCGGGTGACCCTGCGGGGAGCGACCCACGTGGGCTGCCGGCCCGTCGGGTGGGAGCGGATCCTGCGTCACGGGGACTCGATGTCCTCTCCGCTCCCAGGAACAGGACGCACCAGCCCTGCCGGAGCGGGGGGGGGTGACGGCTCTCCTCCCCCCGCCCGCCCCTCTGCGCTGCTCTGCGCGGGCGGGCGGGCGCGCCCGGCACTTCCCCTGGCGGGGGGGGAGGAAGGACGTCACGCGGGGCTGGCCTCCTGCCCGCCTGCCCCCCGTTGCCAGGCAGCGAGCGATCCGCCCCCGCCCCCGGCTCACCTCAGCTGCGCGGAGCGCCCTGCCGCCCGCGCCCCGGCTCGGTGGCGCTCGCGCCGCGGTCTGGTCCGGATCCCTCCCGGAGGAGGCCTTGCGCCGGGGCCCCGCCGGGAACGCGGGCACGGCTCGGCTCGGAGCGGAAGGCAAGCGGGGTCAGGCCGCGCAGGGTCGCTGCTCCGCGGGGGGGGGGGGAAGGGGGCGGGCGGCTGGAGGTCGCTGCGCGTGCAGCGCCGGTGCAAACGGGCTCGGGCCAGCCCGACCCGCAGAGAGCCGTGCGCGGAGCTGACCCGCGGGGCCCGCCAGCTTGGACAGCCATGCAAGGGGCTGAACAAGTGCCCGGAGGAGGGGCCGGGTGCGGGGTGCTGGGTCCACCCGTGGCCTGCGGGGGGGGGGCGTCGCCTTCCTGTCCCGCGTGGGAGCCCTGCCCGGTGACCGACCTGCTGGCCGGAACACGCGCCTCCCCATCTGCTCCAGCGGGCGCTGCCCGGGCTGGCCTGCTGGATCCGGGCGCATGCGCCGGGCAGCCATCAGCCGCAGAGCGAGGGGGCTCGGGGGCCCGGACACGCTGGCCTCACGGCCCCTGCTGAGGGGGGAGGATTCAGTTGGGGCGCTGGGCGAGGGCCCCCCAGCAGCCCGCACAGAGTGCCGGCCTCGCGTGGGTGAAGGCGCAGCTTGGGTTGTTTCGGAGCAGGATCCCGCCAGCCTCCCTCTGTGTGCCGCCCCTGTGCCCCCCGCCTCCTGCCACCCCACCAGCCGCCCCCCCTGCATGCTGCCCCATCCCTTGGGGTGCTCAGACCGGCCGACTCTGCTGCTGCTTGTCCCCTGGGGGGTGCAACAGCCCCGTGGGCTACCCTGTGGACTGAGTCCACGGAAACCTTGAGCCCATCGTCTTGAACATTTCGGGGGGAGGGAGGACGCGCCCCTGGCCACGGCCTGGTCGCCTGGAGGAAACCTTCCCCCACCGAAGGCGAGCCTGCCCAAGGGGGTGCTGGGGGAGCCCCGCACGAAGGCGTCGGCAGGTCTGGGCACTGCCTGGCCCTGCCCCTGGCAATGAACCCGTCTCTCGTCCCCCCCCTCCAGGCCATGGTGGCATGTTACCCTGGCAATGGCATGGGTTACGTGCGGCACGTGGACAACCCCCACGGAGACGGGCGCTGTGTCACGTGCATTTATTACCTGAACCGGCAGTGGGATAGCAAGGTAGGTGGTGGGGGTGGGCTGCACGGGCCTGGGGGCTCTGCATCTCCCCCACCCCCAAGTCTCCTGCATGGCGCAGCACAGACCTCCCCCGATATGGAAACCGCACCCCCTTCCCTCGGCCCTGCTCCTTCCCGCCCAGCCCACGAGGCTTCCCGGATTCCTGGCTCGCTCGGGGAGCGCTGCAGCAGGCACGGCCGGCTCCTTCTGGAGTCCTGGAAGAGGCTTCTGGGGAAGGGCTCTGAGGAGCACCGTTTTTCACAGGGGTGTGTTTCCTGAGCGCCTGCAGAGTTCCTCTCTCCCATGCCAAAGATCCTGCGCAGAGCTCTGGGGCAAGGGGATGTGACCCACGGGACGACACAAAGTCCCAGCCTTCATCCCGGCTCTTGAAACGCTAGGGCTGGACTTCTGGGTTCTTCCCCGCTCCAAGCAAGGAATGGCGGAAAAGCCCTGCTGGGTGCCTTGGCCCGCTCTGCCTGGGCCTTGTTCTCCCCGAGCGCTCAAGGGCCACGTGGCGGCAGCAGCTTGTCTTGGTCTTTGGAGACCGTCTGGCCCGCCCTTTAGCTAAGCGGTCAAGCGGCTGGTGGGAGCCACGTGCCCAGCGCTGGACAAAAGCGCCAGTTCAGCCTGCAGCACAGGCCCTGAGCGCGAAACCAGAGGAGACGTTTGCCGGTGCCCTCGCGCCACTCCTAGCGAGAGCCATGCCGGATCGGGGCCCATTGCGCCACCACAGGCCCATCTAAGGGGCAAAGCAACGCCGGAGCTTCTCAGGTTTCACATGGGTGGCTTGAGGCATGTGGGCGTCAAGGGGGAAACTCTGATTAGATAAATCCAAAAGAATCTAGATTAGGGTGCATAACCAGGGTGCGTTAGAGTCTCAGCCGGTGAAGTGACAGAGGAGAGGAAGGTCAGGTGGGAAGCCCCGAAGCAGCCAGGCGGAGGTGGGGGTCAGGCGTGGAGCCTCCCTTCACCTGCCTCTGCAGCCAAAAGAAGAAATCTGGCCACTCCGTGGGCCCCTGCTATGGGGAGAGGCGGCGGGCTGTGGGGGCGCCTTCCCAGGAGGGGCCGCGCAGCTCCTCGCGAGGGGGCCCGGGAAGCGCTGCACCGCCTGTAGGGAAGGGCCCGGTCAGGACCCATGGGCGGGGGGCATTGGTCCAGGGCGTGAGCTGGCCACCCCCACTGCTGAGCAGGCCTCCCCACCCCCCCGCCAGGCGCACGGCGGCAACCTGCAGATCTACCCCGAGGGCCGCTCGGTCGTTGCGAACATCGAGCCCATCTTCGACCGGCTGCTCATCTTCTGGTCAGACCGGCGCAACCCGCACGAGGTGAAGCCAGCCTATGCCACGAGGTAATGGGGGGGGAGCAGCCCCTCCTCGTTCCCTTCCCTGAGTGGGGATGTGGGGCTGAAGTAGGTTGTGGGTGGGATGTGCCTTTCAGTGAGGTGAGGCTGGTGGCTGGCAGAGCAGTGGCTCGGGGGGGGGGGGGTTTTTTTCGGCCTGCGGGGGGTGCAGCTGGACACAAGCAGAAGGGCCCACCCCCATGGCCACTTGTGGTTTCAGTGAGGCAGGTGCAGGGGAGCCCTACAAGGCGGGGTCCCCCACCAGTCAGGTTGGCGGCTTGCCTGCCGCCGCCTCAAACCACGCCTGCTCGGCTGCCTCCCGCCCCTCCCGGCATGCGGCCCCCACCGCCCTGCCCTGCGGCCCCCACACCCGGCCAGTCCTGCCCCCCACTTGCCTGCGTCTCTTCCTCAGGTACGCCATCACCGTCTGGTATTTTGACGCAAAGGAGCGGGCAGAAGCCAAGGGGAGGCACCGGCTGGGTACGTGGCTGCGCGGAGGGTCGATGCTGACGATCACGGAACAGAAGCAGGGCTCCTGCAGCCAGGGCCCACCTGGCCGGGCTGTCGCCCCCTCTGCCTTAGACCTTTGGACCTGAGAGTCCTGGCAGCGTGCGCCTTGGCCTCGGAGTTGTGGGCCCTGTGCAGCGTCCCTTTCCACATCCAAACCACTCGGTAGCCCAAACCATATTGCAGATTCCTGCACTCAGGAGTTCCTCACAGAAGTTCCACGCTGGATAAACGTGAATGAGCAGCCCCTGTAGCTGAGCGGCGCTGCTGGGCCGATCCGGAGGCCGTCACCCGGCAGGGTGCCCTGTGGAAGCAGATCCGGGGCTGCTCCGTCTGTTGTGCAGGGTGACTCTGAAGGAAGGGAGCGAGCCTGTTGTTAAAAGCACGCTTGAAGGGAGTGGAGCACCGGGCTGGGGGCTTCCGGAGTGGAGCAGCTTGACCCCGGGGGCCTTTGAGTTCCCGCCTGTCCCTCTCCAGCCAGCAGCCTGGGTGGCAGGTGGTGCTGGGGGCAACTGGCTGCGGTGGTCCGGCTCTGCCGGCGGCCTTCATCCCTCCGGCCTGGAACTGGCTCTGGGAAAGGAAGCCCCACAGATACTTCTGTTAGGTTGGTTTTAAAAGAGTGGGTCACAAGGATAAATATGGGCAGTGGGGCAACCCGGCCAGGCGCGTAGTCTCCTTGGGCCAGCGCTCGACCCAACTCTCCTTCCAGTGCCCGGTCCTCGCCTGCCACACCTGCTGGCGAAATCAAGCATGGGGAAGTGCCTCTGAGCATGTGCGGGTTGCTCCCCAGCTGGGGCGCCCCTGGCCAGGCCCGCGGCGTGAGCGCCCCGTTTCCCTCCCTCCTGCAGCCTCTGCGCAGACCGTGGGGCCCGCCCCCGCCGCGCCGACCAGCGGCCCCACCTGACGGACGCGCGAGCCGCGTGGGAACCCGACCGCCAAGGGCCGCCCTGCTCTTGGGCCGCTTCAAGCTGCTGCTGCCGCTGCTGCCGCCCCGCCGCGGCCGGACGCGCCCCAGCGCCAGCCCCGCGGAGGACGAGGCCGAGCGGCGGGCGGACCCTGCGGAGGAGCGCGCCCGCCCGCCCGCGTGGACGCGTGTCCGGGGGAGCAGCCCTCCCTCGGGCGCCTCCGCCCGCCTGCCCCGGAGTGGGGGACCCGGCGCCCGAGGGGCGCACCCGCGCTGCCGCAGTTGCTCCGTCCTGCTCGTTTCCTGCAGCTCGGAGTCCGGCGGGGACGCGCGCGGGGCCGCCCGGGGGCGCGAGCGGCGGAGGCGGCGGCGGAGCACGAGCTGCCGTGCGCGCGGAGTGGAGCGGAATAAACAAGACCTCGTGGAGACGGCCTCGCACTGCCTGCTTGCGGGGGGGGGGGGGGCTTGCCTCCCCGCTGGCGGATGGGGTGTCTTCGCAGCAGCAGCTACGGGACGGGCCCCGTGCTCGCAGACCGCCGCCCCCGCCTCTTGCCCTCCCCCAGGGGCCGGGGAGTCTGAGCAAGGGGGGGGCCCACCCAGCCTGGGAGAGCCGCCCGAAGAGGCAGCCCCCCGGCACAGCCCCGGGGCGCCACCTGGGGGCCAGAAGGGGACGGGCGCCGCAGTACGCGCCGGATTGGGTCCGCGCCCCGCTGGAGTGCTCACCTGCGCAGGAGCGCCCGCAGGGGAGGGGCGTGCGGGGGCCGCCCCCCCGCGGGGGCCGCCCCCCCGCGGGTGCGCGGGCAACGGCGCCCCCCCGCTCGCCGAGCCGCGTCACGGCGCCCGCCTCTTGCCCGCGCCCCGCTCGATCCGGTGCCGCCGGCCTCGCTGTGCGCTCTGCTTCCGGGTCCCGCCTCCGGCGCCCGCGCCCTGCCCATAGCCGCGCTCGCCGCCCCCGCCCCGCCCCGCCCCGCCCCGCCCCTCCTCCTCCGCTCCAACCCCTGGCTTGGCCCCCCCCTTCATTCGCTTTCCGGAACGGAGAAAGTGGCCCGAGGCGTGGAGGGTCCCGGGGCGGCGCAGCCAACACGCTCCCTGGGTCTCAACACCCATCCCGCTGGGGTCGGCGCGGTATTCCGGGGACTAGGCGCGCTCGGGAGAGGCGGGGGGGGGGGCAGCCTCCTTGCACAGGTTGCCCC